CATGTATGCTGCATACTAGTACAATACAATGCTTATTCCGTTTATCTTGTCTGATACATGTATGCTGCATACTAGTACAATACAATACTTATTCTGTTTATCTTGTCTGATACATGTATGTTGCATACTAGTACAATACAATGCTTATTCTGTTTATCTTGTCTGATACATGTATGCTGCATACTAGTACAATACAATGCTTATTCCGTTTATCTTGTCTGATACATGTATGCTGCATACTAGTACAATACAATGCTTATTCCGTTTATCTTGTCTGATACATGTATGTTGCATACTAGTACAATACAATGCTTATTCCGTTTATCTTGTCTGATACATGTATGCTGCATACTAGTACAATACAATGCTTATTCCGTTTATCTTGTCTGATACATGTATGCTGCATACTAGTACAATACAATGCTTATTCCGTTTATCTTGTCTGATACATGTATGCTGCATACTAGTACAATACAATGCTTATTCTGTTTATCTTGTCTGATACATGTATGCTGCATACTAGTACAATACAATGCTTATTCTGTTTATCTTGTATGATACATGTATGCTGCATACTAGTACAATACAATGCTTATTCTGTTTATCTTTTCTAATACATGTATGTTGCATACTAGTACAATACAATGCTTATTCTGTTTATCTTGTCTGATACATGTATGTTGCATACTAGTACGATACAATGCTTATTCTGTTTATCTCGTCTGATACATGTATGCTGCATATTAGTACAACACAATGCTTATTCTGTTTATCTTTTCTAATATATGTATGTTGCATACTAGTACAATACAATGCTTATTCTGTTTATCTTTTCTGGTACATGTCTGTTGCATACTAGTACGATACAATGCTTATTCTGTTTATCTCGTCTGATACATGTATGCTGCATACTAGTACAACACAATGCTTATTCTGTTTATCTTTTCTGGTACATGTCTGTTGCATACTAGTACGATACAATGCTTATTCTGTTTATCTCGTCTGATACATGTATGCTGCATACTAGTACAATACAATGCTTATTCTGTTTATCTTGTCTGATACATGTATCTTGCATACTAGTACGATACAATGTTTGTTCTATTTATCTTTTATCATACATGTATGCTCTATATTATTACAATGAAATGTTTATTCTATTTATCTTGCATGATACATGAATGCTGTATACTAGTACAATACAATGCTTATCTAGTTATTTGTATGATATATGTATGCTATATACTAGTACATTACAATGCCTTTTCTATTTATCTTGTATCATACATGTATGCTGTATACTAGTATAACTTGATATTCTAATCAATATGTATTATCAACTGGACTTCGCACTGATAGATGTAAACACTTTTAGATGGCCGCCAAAAAATCAGCCTCTAATAATTTGGAAAAGATGATAGCTAACATGTTGGACTACACAGCAGCTAACAATTTGGAATACGCAACAGCTAACAATTTGGAATACACAACAGCTAACAATGTGGAATACACAACAGCTAACAATGTGCAATACACAACAGCTAACAATGTGCAATACACAACAGCTAACAATTTGGAATACATAGCAGTTAACAAGTTGGAATACACAGCAGTTAACAAGTTGGAATACACAACAGCTAACATGTTGGAATACACAACAGCTAACAATGTGCAATACACAACAGCTGACAATTTGGAATACACAACAGCTAACAATGTGGAATACACAACAGCTAACAATGTGCAATACACAACAGCTAACAATGTGGAATACACACCAGCTAACAATGTGGAATACACACCAGCTAACAATGTGCAATACACAACAGCTAACAATGTGGAATACACACCAGCTAACAATGTGCAATACACAACAGCTAACAATTTGGAATACACACCAGCTAACAATGTGCAATACACAACAGCTAACAATTTGGAATACACACCAGCTAACAATTTGGAATACACAACAGCTAACAATTTGGAATACACACCAGCTAACAATTTGGAATACACAACAGCTAACAAGTTGGAATACATAGCAGTTAACAAGTTGGAATACACAACAGCTAACAATTTGGGTTATACAAACAGCTATTAATTTAAAATTCACAAAAGCTAGCAAGTTGGAATACGCAGCAGGTAACAATTTGGGATTATCGGCAAATAACAGGTTGAAATACGCAACAGCAAACAATGTGAAATACACATGAGCTAACAAGGTGGAATACACAGCAGCTAACAATGTGTAATACACAACTGCTAACAATTTGGAATACACAACAGCTAACAATTTGGGTTATACAAACAGCTATCAATTTGGAATTCACAAAAGCTAGCAAGTTGGAATACGCAACAGGTAACAACTTGGGATTATCGACAAATAACAGGTTGAAATACGCAACAGCAAACAATGTGAAATACACATGAGCTAACAAGGTGGAATACATAGCAGCTAATAATGTGAAATACACAACTGCTAACAATTTGGAATATATAACAGCTAACAATTTGGGTTATACAAACAGCTATCAATTTGGAATTCACAAAAGCTAGCAAGTTGGAATACGCAACAGGTAACAACTTGGGATTATCAACAAATAACAGGTTGAAATACGCAACAGCAAACAATGTGAAATACACATGAGCTAACAAGGTGGAATACATAGCAGCTAATAATGTGAAATACACAACTGCTAACAATTTGTAATATACAACAGCTAACAATTTGGGTTATACAAACAGCTATCAATTTGGAATTCACAAAAGCTAGCAAGTTGGAATACGCAACAGGTAACAACTTGGGATTATCGACAAATAACAGGTTGAAATACGCAACAGCAAACAATGTGAAATACACATGAGCTAACAAGGTGGAATACACAGCAGCTAACAATGTGAAATACACAACTGCTAACAATTTGGAATACACAACAGCTAACAATTTGGAATATGCAACAGCTAACAATTTGGAATACACAACAGTTAACAAGTTGCAATACGCAACAGCTAAAAATGTGGAATACACAACAGCCAACAAATAGGATTACACAGCATCTAAAACTCTGGAATAAACAACAGCTAACAAGTTGGAATAAGCAACAGCTAACAAGTTGGAATACACACCAGCTAACAAGTTTGAATACGCAACAGCTAACAAGTTGGAATACGCAACAGCTAACAATATGGGATATACAAACAGTTAACAATTGGGAATACAAAACAGCTAACAAGTTGGAATACACAACAGCTAATAATTTGTGACATGCATACAGCTAACAATTTGGAATAAACAACATTTAACAAGTTGGATTACGCAACAGCTAACAATTTGGAATATACAACAGCTAATAATTTGTGATATGCAACAGCTAATAATTTGTGACATACAACAGCTTATAATTTGTGACATACAACAGCTAATAATTTGTGATATACAACAGCTAATAATTTGTGATATACAACAGCTAATAATTTGGGATATACAACAGCTAATAATTTGGGACACACAACAGCTAATAATTTGGGACATACAACAGCTTTGCGAATTTGCTAAATCTTTTAGGCCGATAAACTCTTGCAACGAATATGTAATTCGTATTAATGGACAGGAATCTATTATCTTTTCAGTCTGTCATATTTGAAATGTAATTATTTTTCATTAACAAAGAATGAACCTGACAATGATGTTACATGTTCCATTTTTTTTTTTCATTTATAAGCTTCAATTTATGACTTGTAGGGTTTCGTGTATGAAGAGAATCGTACACATTTAAATTGTTGGGTTTCGTGTATGAAGAGAATCGTACACATTTATAAAGAACGCTTATAGACTTGCCTCGACAAATCATAACCCTTTTATTTCGGACGTAAAACGAAGTTAACTTCGATCATGTATTCCTTGCCTTTGGTGCTTGCATTTCAGCAGGTAGTTGTTACTATTTAATTTATGGCCCGTGTTTTGCTCGCTGCTATACCAGTGTCGGATTAAACCATGTGGAGTCCACCCTAGGCAGTCGAAATTTCGGCTCGCAAATTGTCTCCTAATACGTCAAGATCAAATCAATTTAATATTATTTTGATCCGTTGTCACCGGGGCTCTAAAACGCGTAGGGCCTATAGGCCGAAGCCTACTCTGTTTATTTGGGTAATTTGGCACTGTGCTATAATTGAAGAAAGTAGAAAAGTTTATTTTTTCTAAAATATTTGTTTTTATCCTAAATGGCATAGTCTGAATGACACTATATATTTTCCTATCAGTATTTGCGGGCTTCCATATAATTCATAAATGTTTTCCTTCCTTCCTTTTCACTTACTTTGTTTCTCGGTTTCTTCGTTTCTTTCTTTTATATGTTTTTGGGTCGACGATTGAGGTTTCATGTTGGAAATTTAATATCCTTTAGCGTGTTCGGTGTATATTAAAATTAGGTCTGGCTTAAGGCATAACGCGAGGTATGCAAACAGAAAAGGAAGTGATAGTACAAGTTGATGATTGGGTGTGTAGTTTGGAAACTGCCTAGTCTGTCAAATATCACAAGTGATGGATTAAACCCTGTGGAGGCTCCTAAGCAGTCGAAACCTCAGGGATTCCCTAGCAAATTATTTCCTAATACGTCAAGATCAAATCAATTCAATACTATTTTGATCCGTCGTTGCGTGGTCCCTAAAAGGCGTGTGGCCCATAGGCCGGTGTCTACTCTGCTTGCTTGGTAATCCAGTACTGAACATCGCACAATCCGATGTGCCACATATGCCCGTTCGCTTGGCAAGTTATCGTATTACATTCAGCATCACATGAGATTGAGACAAATTTTCGGTATATGCCCATTTCTACTTAAAATGTACACGATGACCCTCACAACCAACCTGAAAGGTAACATTTAGTTTGTTTTTCTACAATGGATAGTGTCTGGAAATATCAACATTTGAAAAGCTGTTAAAATGATTCACAAATAAACCAAGACACAATATTGTAAGCTCATTTGCATTGAGGTACGCAATCTCTTGTATGCTTAATGGGTTTGATTAAGTGGTTCGAGTGCCCGCCTCTGGTGCAGGGGGTCGCGGGTTCGAACCCCGACTGAGTTATATCAAAGACATAAAAATAGTAACAACAGCTGACTCTTAGGGACTCATCATTAAGAGCATGGCGTACGGACTGGTCGATCTGGTGTCAGGATAATGGGACTGGGTGGAACACGATGTCATGTGTCTGCAGCATGATTCCGCAGTGCTAGACATGAGTATAAACTGACAAACTGTAGACATTGTAGCGATATGGCTCAAATTGGTCAGATATGACTAAAATTGTTCAAGCTGCGTTAAAATTCCAAAAGACACACAAACACACACAGACACGTTCAAGGTGGTTATTTTATCATTTGATAATAAAAAACAACGCAAAGGTCAACTCACGATTGACGTAACAGCATAAGGTGATTGGACAAGATAGATAATATATAACGATTTGTTTAAAGCGTGGAAATCGTCCGAATACGACTAAAAAGAGGGATGCTTTTAAAAATCTATTTGGCCATTTGACTACACGATTCAAAACCACTGATAAAAAAAAGTCACAACGACGCCAGATTTGGATTATTGCTGTTGAGTTTCAAGTGGGTCTATACATTTGGCGATAGGGTTCGTGTATTCAGGGGTCGAGGGTCCATATCTTTATGGGTCGTTTGTGCATATATTTATTGTGCATATATTTAGGAGTAGTGGGTTCATATTATTTAGGGGTCGAGAGTTCGTATATTTTAGGGTCAGTTCTTGAAATTGAATGTTTGCTATTTCATATACTAAATTGTGTTCAGTGTATATTATAAATCAGTCTGGCTTAAGGTATGACCCGAGGTATGCAAGTTGATGATTGGGTGTGTAGCTTGGAACTGTCCAGTCTATCAAAAATCGCACATTTCCATGTGTCACATATTTGCCAGACAATATATCGTATTACTTACATCACATGACGAGGAAGACCAGTTTTCGGTATATACCCATTAGTACGTAAAATGTACTTCATGACCCTCAAAACCAACCTGAAAGATAACATTTAACTATATTTTCTGAAAGTGGACAGTGTCCGAAAATATCACCATTCGACACAAATATAATTTATTATTCATATTCAGTACAATTACCCACAAATAAGACACTATTGTAATCGCATTTGCATTGCCGTAAGCAATCGAACTCAGGCTGAGTCATACCAAAGACTTATAAAAATGGTACAATGGTTGTATCTTCTTCGATCGGGTTAGTTTTCATTTAAAACAAAACAAGGTAAATGTCACTAAGCTTGTAACAGTACAATTTTGGATGATGAGTGAACAAAATAGAAAATGCATCTCGATCCTTGAAAAGCGTGGAAATCGTCCGAAGATGAATAAAAGGTGCGAAGATTCTTTTTTTTTAAATCTCTATGATAATTTTACAACACGATGAGTAATTTTTGTTAATTGTGTGGGTTCTTTTAATATAATACAAGATGGATACATACATACATACATACATACATACATACATACATACATACATACATACATACATACATACATACATACATACATACATACATACATACATGCATACATGCATACATACATACATACATACATACATACATACATACATACATACATACATACATACATACATACATACATACATACATACATACAAAGAAATAAAATTCATGTGTCATGTTATGACATTTTCGATTAACCAAAATAACTCAAGATATATACCATGGGTCCGGTGACTATTTGCTTAGAGTGTCTGCCTCGGATGCGGGAGGTCACGGATTCGAACTCAGGCGCTCAGCATTAAGAGGTTAGTGTTAGGACTGGTCGTCATTGCGTCGGGATAATGTGACTGTGGGATATCAGGCTACATAGTGATGGGAATCGGTCAGAATTTCATAATCGATTCCACTTAACCAATTGATAATCAATTATAATCGGTTATAAAAACAAATTTTACATTTTGTTTCTTATGCAGTTACATCTTTTCTCAAGAATTCAAAATGTTAAAAAATATACTGGAGTAATCACTTTTAATAACATTTATACTTTAATCTGATAAAAAAAAAATTATTACATTTTCTTCTAATATGTTATTTTTGTTGTATAACTTTGACAAATAAAAGCGGCTTCTTATGGCTGATCAGTTTTATGTAACTAAAAAACTGTTGCAATCCCCAAACCCCTCCAAAACCATTTCATTTTTACATATGTGTCGATCATTAAAAGAAAAGGAAATGGTTTTCTTGTCTATCATTATTTACAAATGCTTCAAAAGGATTTTACATTTAAACTGAAATAAATAATCAAATTTTTTAAACAATTTATTAACTCTACAATTTAACAGCAAAATCATGTAATCATGACTATATGTTCATAATTAAGTTTGCACCTTCAGAGTATGGTCTGTTTTATATTTGTAATTAGTGAAGGTAATAAATAATTTAGTTAGTAGATTTTAAGTCCTATACAGCTTACCATTTGCCCAGGAGTTTTGCTAATCTTTGCATTTTGCATGCATCTGAAAAGAAATAGTCTCCCTTTTGACACAATCGATTATAGAGTTTCACAATTGATTATCGCATTGGTTCGCTCAACCAACTGATTATCGATTATAATCGATAATCGGAACAACACTAATGTTAAATGTCTGCGGCAAATGCCCTAGTGACCCATCCCTAAAAAACTGCCACACCGCAGACGTCGTAACGATATAACTGAAAAATTGATAAAGCTGCGCTAAAAATCTAACACACACACGCGCACGCGCACGCGCACGCACACACACACACACACACACACAGGATATACCACTGCCCCTAACGGGCAAAGATTTTGCTTGTATAAATTACTGTGTAAAGAGAGACTTGCAGTGAATAGCGATGGCTTAGCAATATAGCAAGAACATCTTCCCAAACCACCCACTCACCTGTAAAATACGATTCCTGGACCTGCTTCCTATTAAAAAATGTCGGGTCCAAAATAAATCTACCACTTCTGCCTCCCGCCCCTGCGTAATTTCGGTGGTTACTTTGTTGGCTGTGTGGCTGTTTTTTTTTGTTTTTGTTTTTGTTTCTTTTTTTAAATGTTTTTCAGTTCATTTGATTCGTTTTCTTTACCATTATTTGTTCGTTTTCTTTCTGCATTTTGATCCTGTTTTTTTTTTTGGCTGAGCTTCGGAATATGCATTGTTAGAATTTGTATGCTTTTTTATTTCAGCCTTTGTACTAATTTCTTCAATCAATCTTTCCTGTTACCTTTCATGACCTCAATTCGTATGGCCTGACACCGTTATCATTATCAAATGTTATCAATAATTATTTTTTTTATCTTTCAAACTGAAGTTATCAAAAGAGTAGTTTTAGTTAGCTATCCCAAATAAGCTAGCGTTAAAGAATGAAATGTCTAATTCCTTCTTTTCTTTTCATTTTGGTTGATTAAAATGGCGTTGGTAGGTGAATAAAATTTCGTCTGCTTTTACCTTCAGGGTAAACGGATCTATATTATTAGGGGCAGTTCAAATACCTTGACACCCTTCTTTTATCTACATTGAAAATTAGTTGAGGATCATGTACGAAAATTACTTGAAAGTACCGCTCCAAATTATGATGCCGAATAGTGGAACTTGTTTTGTCTGACGTAAAATTGTTGATTATGGTAGGGCGGGAAAGCATTTGAAATTTTAACAAATTCCAACAATTATTTTATCCTGGAACTAAAAATGTGCCCTGCCCATCGTTTAGGAATTTTACTGTCTGTGCAGTAAATTTGGACACCATAATTTTCTTTTCATGTGCAAATCATGCTATTTTAACAAATGTAATAGTGGGGTTTTGTTTCCCCAGTGGTTTAATGTGATTTTATTTAAGAACTACGATTTACACGTTTTGGCCCTGAATTACCACTTTGCACGCGCGAATATACAATATACAAACACACACACACACACACACACACACACACACACACATACACATTTGTGTATGTTATTGCCTTTTATAAACCTGACGATGAGCGACATAGATGGTGTAGGGTTGTTAGTTTAATACTTAATACATAGAAAACGTATATATTAGCAGAGTTGTCCAAAATTCGACCCTCAGCTGGTGCCCACTGGTAGTGAGAAAGTGTCAAGTGCCCCCTGGCGTAAAAAGACTACTTCCCTAGTTTAAGGACGCCTCAGTACAATAGTATCAATCCATACGATACCTTCTTAATACCAATTAAAGATGTTAAAATGAAGAATTGCACATAAACCGCACGAAGATAAACTTTTCCAAATAAGTGTAAACGTGAAGCAAAATGTGATTGGCAAAGATGTTTAAAATTTCTTTTAGGGAAATATAAAATTAAAAAAGTAACTCATATACAATTCCCAAAGATTTATAGATATATAGATATAATTTTTCAGGAAGGTCGCTCGCAGAATAATATTCGGGGGGGGGGGGGGCAAACATAAGGTGGTCAGCTATGATGTTTTGGGCCAAGACATGTTTAGAGATGAAATCCTGGCACGGTGGCAAGTGTATGTATGTATGTAGGTAGGTAGGTAGGTAGGTAGGTAGGTAGGTAGGTAGGTAGGTAGGTAGGTAGGTAGGTAGGTATGTAGGTAGGTATGTATGTATGTATGTATGTATGTATGTATGTATGTATGTATGTATGTATGTATGTATGTATGTATGTATGTATGTATGTATGTATGAACGAATGAATGTAAACTGATAGGTATGACAGGTCGGATGGACTCAATCTATGATGTATTTGTTTCATTATTGTCAAGATTGCAATGCAATGAACGATAGAACGATAGAACGATATAACGATAGAACGATATAACGATAAAACGATAGAACGATTTAACGATAGAACGATATAACGATAGAACGATAGAACGATAGAAAAAAAATGTTACCATTTCCATAGTTTACGGATGTCTGTATCTTGAAAAAAAAAACTCCCAAACTAAACCAAACCTTCTTATTTCCCCGAAAAATGAGAAAAAAAAGGATCAATACGTTTTTTTCTTAGCACTTATAGTACATTGTTTTAACTCTTATTAGATTGT